TGCCTTCCCCGTCTATTATAGGGAGAAGAATAAGGGGAGCTGGAGCAGATGAGCTTGCTTGACCAAAAGTTGTCATCATACAACAGCAGCTTTTTCTCATTCTATTCTGGATTACAGAAAAGGAGAGGGGGATAAAGACCTGAAATTTTGGGTATTTTATAACCCTAATTCCCCCAAAACCTGTGGTCATGTAAAGTGAAATGCTGACAGAGCGATGACTGGTAGGAAGCTGGGAAAATGGGATGGAGCTCATGAAATGCAAGTCTTGCAGTGTGGGGAACCAGGGCCAAAGGCTACAGCACATTCTTTCATCTCCAGCATTCACCATGCATTTCTAGTTCCACTATTCATAGAATTTGTTTCATCTTAGAAGAAAATATTTTTGTTGATGATGTGTTCTTACTGTAATTTATGAGGCTAAAACAACATAACACTTCACATTGCAGTGGCTAACATGTTAATTCCTCTTACAGGATGGTAGAATGGCATTCCTTGCTAGCAGATCTAGAAAACAAAGCCCTGACCTTCTCCTAGATATTACTAAGATAAACAAGAACCTACTGTTGCCAGAATTTGAAGAGCTTTTGCAAGTAAAGAAGGTTTAGAAATCAGTCTAAAGACTGATTTTTCTTCTCTTAGCAGAGAAGAAGTTGGGAAGTGGGGTTACAGGAGGGATTTGAAGGAAGACAGAAGGGTTGCTGACAGGCAGAAGCTGAAGGATCCACAACAGCAATGTCATCTTATACAGGATGCGAAAGAGAAGGGAAGAGGAAACGTAAGAAACTGGGAGAGCCTGGGACAGTGAAATGTTATGTAGGAGATGAATGATAGATGAAGGTTTATCATTTAGACAAGAAATCTAATATTGATGCAGTAAAAGATAAACTTGTGAATGGATTCAAGGAGGAAAGTAATGTGATTCAGGATTTTTCCTGTAATCTACTAAATCTTTCTCAGCTGTGACATCCGTCCTTCCTGTCATAGGATGACACAGGTCTGTAGTTGGGGCACCCCATGTGCTTTGCCCACAGAATTATCACCAGCCCACTTCCTCTTGTATCCAGAGTTTCTGAGGCAATTAAACTAGCTCCCAGCTTCTACCAGCAATTTCAAAGTAACAATTTATCTTTCCTAAAAACAAATTACAGCCTGAGACTAAGGTGGGATATTATTTAGTGATTTATAAAGACAGAAAAGCTGCTTATCACCAGTGAAATCTTCATATCATGCCACATTATCTATGTATGAGAGCAGAAAGAAGTACCTATAGAAACAGAATGAAATAAACATTGGCATGATTGTCACCAATAGCACTTCAGGCCTTCAGAAGAAAAAGAGTATTTTAAAACAACATACATTTTTGACAAGGTACAGAACTTAAAATACCTGTGAATTAAAGTAGCGGTGAATCAAAACAGAAAGCTTCTAAGTCAACAAAATGCTAGTGACACATCTGCTCACTCCATACAATTAAAAAAAAAAAAGAGAAAAAAAAAGATGAGACAGAAATTCCCCAAAGACCCCAAGCTTTTAAGTACCTCATTTGTGTTAATGACTCCATGAGTTCAAATGTGCTCCTGTTTTGATGTTGGATAATTACTGTTATGGTAATCAAAACATCATTTAGTGAATCCAGCATATCATGTTGAAAATTACGTAAAATCATATTGTAAGCAGATAATTTAACTTGACATGTGAAGACTTACTCTTATTCATAGGAACCAAAATTTCTTTGCCACATGTTTAGTATATAGCACTGCAATCAAATAGAAAAAATCAGTTTAGGACGAGTTTACAGAAACCCATGTCAAAGCATACATGTTCTTTAGAACCTGTTATTTAAAAAAAATTTCATGGATCTGTTAGCTGCCATAACTTGCCATTCAGAATCTGTACAAACTTGTGTCAACACATGTGCCCCCACCAGAAACAAGAAGACTTTCCAAGAGCTGGTCACCACCCACGCCTGGGCCCCCCAGCCTCATCATTTTAACATGCTGAGCAATCAGCTTCATTATGGGCCAGTTCCTTATCATATACCTAAGAGTTCATCACCCTGTAAACATATTTAATATAGCAGTGGAGTCCTTATAACAAAGTCACACAGGGATGCGAGTCAAGCACTTCTGATACAGCTCACCTGCTGAGTCATCAATATCATCAATGCAGGACACGTTGGACTTTCTGCTAGACAAGTGAAAACATCCCCTTAAACTGCTAAAAGGTTTTGATAGAAAACCACTTTATGCTTGTCTTGTTTCCCCAAGCCACCACGAGAGAGGAAATCAGGGACCACAAACAGTGGGTGTAGCTCATTACTGCTGTGAAGGGTTTGGGTATTCAAGCAAGTGCCTGGTCCAGTATGAAAAGAAAGTTACTCTCTGTAGATGGATTGCTCCTCTTGCAATGTGCCTAGTAATTCCAATATTCCCAAACCCCGAGCAGTTCCTACAAGAGAAGGAAGAGAAAAAGAAAAGGCTTTTCACAAACACATTAGTCCTTACTGTGAAACTGGTCATCACTGATACACAGAAATATTGGAGAAAGCTAAAGAGAAAAAATCAGATGGAAAATCTGGCAAATGTTTAGAAAATAAAATATGTAGCAAAGACTGGAAAATGCCGGAAGGCTCTTTAAAGGGCCAGAGGAAGAATTGGGCGTGCTGATACATAGTTTCAGCAAAGCTTAAGGAAAGAAAAATGCCTGTTATGAGTGCCATGGTTGATTTTAACTAAAATAACTCACCCCCTCGAACTTGCCTGGGTCACTGCAGAAAGCATATCCTTTGGGGGTGTTTGAGTCTAGCAAAGCTAATTCAAACAGATGACAGCACCTGCCTTTGGGAAACATATATCATGACAAGAAAATCAAAAGGAAAATCAACTGGTACAGGCCTTCTATATGCATTTTAAAAAATACCAATTCTCTATCATATATCACAAGGACTACCCCACACTTTTTGTGATTAGTATCTGTGTGAATGAAGGTTTACAGTCTTGTGACCAAGTCAGCCAAACATTAAAAGCCTGTGACTAAAAGGAGAGAAAAAAAAGATAGCCCTGCAAACTCTATTTTCTTCCTGTGAATGGCTTGTATTGAATCATTCCCTTGGGCCAGATAATGCTTGCACAAGTTGCCAGATAATGAATTAAGCACCACAAATGGAAGGTGCAAACCTTCACAGTTAGTTGGGGAAAAACAGCAGCAGTGAATGAAACGGAGGTTTGTTGCCTCTCACACTAACTGCACAGAAGCTCATCTGTTTGGAGGATTCATGACATTTCTGAGTGTGGGGTGCCTTGCCCACAGCACTGGTCACCTGCTGAGAGCTCACACTGAATTCGGTTACATTATAATTGGATTTTCCAAAGGCACTGCATTAGCATTTTCCATGATCTCACCCCTTATTAGCCAAATCAGTAATCAGGAGTTGCGTGGTTATATTGTTTGCTGGCTAAACTATCTGCTGTTATAGAGTCTGTAAGCCAGCTCCAAATTCATGCAAAGATAAAACTTCCTACCCCTCTAACAGAGACTCGGGAGTTTATTCTCTAGCTAATGTTATAGTCAAACTCCAATTTCAATAGTTGATGAAAAAGAAATTCTCTCCAGAGGCTGTTTCACTTGGTGCTTTGCTCGTGTTCTTCCCAGGTCCGTATTCTAAGTTAGGAGAGTTGTTCCTTTGATCAGTGTAGGCAAGAGCAGCATTGCCCAAAAATGTAACGGCAGAAAAATCCTCTCCCATGGACTGTTCCTCATTGTGTCCAAAATGAAATGCTGAACGTGTTTACTCCTGTAAGGTTATTACTTTAATGCACTGGCTTTTGTATATTGATGGGACTGGAAATACCTGTTCCAAAAGCAGAAATGACACACACAGGTGATCTCATAATTGACGACTCTGTCTTTGCAGAGCTCAAAAAGCTGTTTGTGTGGGAACATAAACTCCTATTAACTACTTCTGAGCCATAAGGAGAGCACACAGGACACTTCATGCAGCCTTAGGGCGCAAAAATCTCAGTTTCTTCTTTCAGGTGGGGTCCCAGCAGATTTAGATACTTGTCTCCCAACAGCTGCCCTCTTAAAAGGCTGAAGGGAAGAGACAATCTTACAAGTACATTATCAAGTAATGCTGGCTGAACACCCATTCACCATAACTTTCTAAAAAAAAAAAATCATGGTCTAAATAAAATTTCATTTAAAAGCCAGGTTTTATTCCAAGGTTAGAGGTTACACAATGTTTAGATTCATTACAAGAATCATTTGGAAATATAAAGCCATTTTCACTGAGAAGTTAAACATTAAATATTTCTACTAAAATTCTTCTGATGCAAGTAAGTACATACACACACACAAAAAAAGGATTACATTTTTCATACCCATCTGGAGCCAAAACAAGAGAAGAGCTGGCTTTGCCTCAAAAAAGAGAGCAGACACCTTCTACCTGGCCTGGCACTGGCAGTACCCTGCTTACAATGACACTAGCATGTTAAAAAAATAAAGCAAAGCAGATTTCTTTTTTACCAAAGAACCAACAAAAAGGGTACAGAATTCAAGACGGCATATATCAACAACTCATTCCCTCAAATAAAATTAAAAAAAGAGTATAATTCTTAAACAAAAAAATATCACACTACTATTTGGCTTCTAAGCTCTTGAATTCAAACCAGATGTAACTGTCTCTGAAGCCCCAGCAATAGCTGCATCTTCTCATAAGGCTTTTTAACAGATTCTCACAGGCCGCACAAACAGCATCTTCAGAACAAAGGGCAATAATGCTTCCCAGCAGAGTTTAAACTGGATCTTGAGGATCACTACCCTGTATGATCTGCTTTTCTATTGTCCTTGTAGGGATTTCACCAGGCATAAATAACGTGCACTGAAAAGATAAGGAGCTAAGGGAAAAAAAAAAAAACAACAAAACCCAGAACAAATCAGAATAATGAAGCTTCAAGACTAGCTTTCAGCCATTGGTCTACACTTCTCCAGGTCATGGGCTGTCAGCAGTGGGCTCCCTTCCCCGAGGATGAATCTGCAAGAGTAAATCAATACAAATTATTTTGACACCGAGAAGTACAACTCTCTGATGATTAGTTTCCCTCTATTTTGTAACACACACACACCCCTGCAGCCAATACATCATTACAAGCCTGTAATCAATCCAACAGAAACGGCAGTAAGTGTGAAGAAGCAAAAGAGGGTAGAGATATCACACAGTGCACGGGTGGTTTCTCTCTCTCTCTTGACTTTCACCTAGTCCTGATTGTTGATACAGTTCAAGCAGCAGGATCTAGTAACCTGAGTCCCTCATGTAAATATCTTTCTAGGCCTCTAAAAGGAAGAGCAGACACTCAGCAGTGCTCAGAGGTATACAGTAGCATTAGGTACACACAGGAGAGTAAGCAAGTGTGACAGAGGGAAGAATTAGGTAATAGTACCTACAGCTAAGTAGGTGTCTGTGGTTCAAAGTTGTGTTTGATAGTAACTCACTCGAGCTAAGAAAACAAAATAACGTCTAAGAAAGGAAATACACTATTGCCAGTGTAACACATACTTCCTCCCTGAAGTTTCTAAAGACTCTGGAAAAGCTGTCACACATCGGTAGTGGCACACACACAAGTGCACACAGTATTTAGCTTACAAGAGAAGCATTAAGACTGAAATATTTCCAGCAGGGTTTTGAATTGGCCTAGGAGAATTGCTCTGCAGCTGCTACACAGTAACCCCATCATTCACTTCCAAACCCACAGGGCTGATGACATCCAAATGTATGTGAAAGAAAACTTGATCCAAAAGGTCCACGTTTGTACCAAGCATCATTATTAGGAATCAGCAATTTTATTGACACTGTTTATCAGAGCTAAAATTCATATTATTTGTCCACAAAAGTTAGGAAAAGGAACAGTTAGCAGACTGGTTCTTTTTGCAAGGTAGATAAATACAGATATTTGTGCATTCAGTTCATTCCATGCATATAGAACCAAATAACAAAAAAGACAGAACAAAACCTCTCTAACAAGATGTGTGCTTCCAAGAAGCAGAAGATACATGGTTCCACCAAAAGTTGATATTCATATAATAATATAATTTGGGGAAAAAAAGGAGAGGACTTGGATATTCAAACACCTCATACAGCTATACAGTGGGGATGTCCTTCAATTATTTTTGTTCCTTGCCAGTCCCAAGTCCCACCTGAACACACTGAGATCACCTTGGTTATGCCAAGATGCTTTTGCCTCACTAAGTTTTTGCCCAGCTGGTGCACACCAGCAGATACCACACCACTGCAGGCAGAGTCTGCCAGAGAAGAAAGGCAAACAGGATATAACATGTAGTTCCCAAACCAAAGACTATCTCTCCACTAGGATGGCATTAACATCCAGGAAACCTTCTGGATGTTCTCAGTACAAGCAGGGTTCAGAGCCCAAAACAGAGTACTTCTACACTTAAAAGACACAAAATCACAGAATCCTTTAGGTTAGAAAAGGCCTTGAAGATCACCGAGTCACATCATTAACCCAGCACTGCCAAGTCCACCACTAAACCATGTCCCTCAGCACCACATTTGCACGGCTTTTAAATCCCTCCAAGGATGGTGACTCCACCACTTCCCTGGGCAGCCTGTTCCATGCCCAACCTAAACTTCCCCTGGTGCAACTTGAGGCCATTTCCTCTTGTCCCATCACTTGGTACTTGAAAGAAGAAAACGATCCCCCACCTCACTACAATCTCCTTTCAGGCAGTTGTAGAGAGTGATAAGGTCTCCCCTGAGCTTCCTTTCCTCCAGATGTAAAGCAAGGGAATTTGGACTCTATAAAATAAGGGTAGGTAGCACTTGTCTGCTACCAAGCAAATGGCACAGAATAAATTTTTACATCACTTCCTTAGATGATCAATGAAGAACTAAGGATATTTCCAGAGGGCAGATGGATGCATTATCGAGTCACCAGGAAAGAGAATGATTTAGTGAAAACAGCCACCACATCACCTATCACACAAGAAGACTGCTATCTATGTCCCCTGTCAGACATTCCCTTAATAGTTTCCCATGTATCATTCTCAAATGGAAAAAAAACAAAAATCCAGTGTGTGTGAAGCCATTTAAAACCTAATGGGTACTGAATGATAAATCCTGATACATTGTTTCATAGAAATAAAATTATCAAATCATGTAGCTGTTTAAATTGCATATCCTGTTCCTCTTCATATGAGGCTTTTCTGCCTGGTTCTCTGAATAACTAAAACATGTTCTCTGATCTCTATATCAAGCTGACTTTTAAAAAATACTTTTCTAAAAGAAGGCAACTTCTTGTGTTCTGGAGTTAGAACTCAAAGGTGTGTTAATGACCTTTTTGTTACATTGCAGTAGCAGAAATCAAGCTGTACCAGTAAAAATCCTGAAAAAAAATCACATTTTCATTCCCCGTGGGGATGGCAAACTGCTAATTAAATCTGTCTTGACTACTTGGGAGCTCTGATAATTTCTAGTGTAATGTATACACTGAGGACAGGCTAATACAAAAAATGTTTAGGGCCTGGGATTTTTTCCAGGAAAATTAAGATGTCAGTTAATGGACTTTTTTTTTTTCTGTCTGGTTTTCATTGAAGACCTACACAAATCCATTTTTCAGTTTTTCCTCCCTCCCGACAGATGTTATTATTTTCAGTGCAAAACCCCACACTTCTCCCTCCTCCTCTTCCAATTAGCTGTAATTATAACAACATTAGCAGTAAAATAGGTACCTTGAGGGCAAAAATCTGGAAAGCAGCAGAGTGTGGAAGGGAACGAGATTACATTGAAAATAAAGTGGACACAACATGCTTCCTCATACTCATCTGGGCATCCTTAGGGCTTGGCAGGTTGATCTCTACGTTCCCTAAGTAAGTGTGCCAAGATAAGGTGGTGACCAACTGCTCTCACCTCTCCCCAGAGCTACCCCTTGAACCAGAGAGTGAGGTGAAGGGCTACGTTTGGGCTTCTCCCTGTGCCTGGCATAACTGGATCCAAAAATAAAAATTTAGAGAGTTTAGGTCAAAGAAATCCAACAGTTATATCTAATGTTCTCAAGGGCTCACTGGGGTTCCTGAATACATGTACTGTGAATCTTTCTACCGAGGAAACAAATACAGCAAGATTAACTTTGGGAGTGAAAAAGCCAATACATGGCCAGCAGCTGTGGCATGCAAAAGGGCTCTTGCTCTGGGTAGTCTTTGAGCAATAAACCTCTTTTCCAGAGATTTTTCATTAAAAACCTGGGTTGAGGGAAAATCTCCAAAATTAATCTTTTTTTCAACCATCTTTTCAATTTTGCACAGTTGGATAAGGAAGGAAGTCAATACTGCTTGCCAAATAAAGTGACATTAAGTCCACTTGCTGGAACTGTTTCTGCCTTGCTCCTTAAAAAGAAAAAAAGAAAAAAGAAAAAAGAAAAAAAAAATAAATAAAAACCCCAAAGAAAACACAACCAAGAATGAAAAGATCAGAAACCAGTTCCAGGAATGCTGAGTGACAACACACAGAGAGACCTAGGAGCTCATGTCTGTGGCAGCGCTGCTGGTCAAACAAGGCTAAGCTGGAAGAATTTAAGCACAGTTTAGGACCAGGCTTTCTGCACAGCAAAGTACCTGGGGAGCGACCAGAGGCAGTCAGGAAGAATTGTTCTCCTGGAAATATATTGCTGGTGCAGTCAGACATCTCATCATAATCTTCCTTAATGTCTTCCTACCTCCCATCACTGAACTTTCCACATTGCACTCCTCTCCTCATTATGACCTTCGAGGAAACCCCTTGGATTTTTCTGGAAGCCTGATGACTCCCCCTAATCCTGCTTTGCAGACAGGCAGCTGACCTGTGAGGACTACCTATGGAGCATGGCTGGATACAAAATGCTCCCACATCCTCCTAGCTGCAAACCACCTGTTGAATTTTTCTGAATTCAGTTTACATCCCAGTGGTAGCATGGAAAACAGAACTCTTGATGAGACTGCAGCATGAAAGAGTAGTAGTAGAGGAACTGGGTGAAACCCTCATCTTCCTGTGGCCACACAGACATACCGACAACAGGCAACTGCATCCTGGCATGAAAGCTATCCCAGACCATGGGCATACCTTCAGTATCTGTTGCACTGGGAATGTGCAAGGCTGTAGAATACATCAACTCACTAAATACATCATAAAGGACAGATTTTTTTTTTCCCCCATGCTTTTTGGAAAACTGTATTTTACATGGTTTACCAGTTCTTCACTGTGCCATGCAATCCCTGGCAGGTCAAAGTTGTCTCCATGTTTGCCAAGGAAAAGACTGTGCTTTTTAACCTATGAAAACTTCTAAAAGGTGTTCCTATGGTCCCAAAGCCAGAGAGACCTGGATTGTTCTTTGTTAAATATCAAGTAAACTACCTAAAGCCAGAGACATATTTTTAAAAACAAGTTGAATGGCTCTATGGAGCCAGGGGAATCATCAGTTTTTAATTAAACAAGGCAATTCAGCAATACCTCTGGGCAACTGTTGACAAAATAAAAAAAAAAATTAAAAAAGATAAACTAATTTAAATCTTGATTACTGAAAAAAAAAAAAAAATTTATAAAGAAAGGCCAAATCTTACGCATAGAATCCTTTCCTGGACATCAGAGTGTCTGTGTACAACCAGTAATTTCTATTTGGACATCTGGAGAAGTAAAAACTTTAAGTAAATGTAATCAAAAGCACACACCAGGATTGCTAGTTGTGTTTGGTCACCTCCACGTATTCATACACATACACACTCCTGCCATCATGATTCCACACCTGACAACAACCAAGCCAGGGATAAGATACTTAAGCATGATGCTGATGTGCATCACACTCTGAACTCTTTTCAAGGGCATGCTGATGTGATTTCAATGCTGAAGATTGTCCTCTCAAGCACCAGCAGCCCAACTGGCAATAACCTGTCCCTATAGAGCAATTTCAGCCTTATGTACCACCAAGGCTACAAGACCCTTCTCTTGAGGTTCTGAAGTGGTCCATAGATACTGTCACAAACTTTGGAAAGTAGGATCAAAGAGGACTGATCAAATTCCTGTAGTAGATTGTAAAAAAAAAAAAAATTCAAAACAAAATTCCATGGTTATCCCATTTCTGTAGATAGAAGTGAAGAGGTGTTTCTAACAGAAAGACAAACCAGGCTTCACAGAGGCAGCAGTCCGTTTAAGACAGCCTTCTTTGAGCATGGGAGCAGCTAAGGAAATTGGTGTCAGTCAGAATAAAAGTACAGATAAGGTTGCACAAGAAGCAGAAAACCTGAGATTGAAGCTGGTTACAGTAGGACCTGGAGAACCTCAGTAAAATGGCAAAGCACCTGGGTGCAAATAACTTCCTCTCTCACATAGGAGGGGAGAGAGGGAGGAAAACACAGTCTAGGTACATCTATATAAAACTGCAGAAAGAATTAATAATTTCTCCTTGGTGACAATATGCTTCTGTAGGCCAAATGACATTATAATAAACTAGTTACGATGGATGTGGAGACTCATAGATTTGAAACCTCTTTAAAACAGGCTTTTTTTTTGAATGGTATATCATAAAAAACATCAGTTTCCCAGTTCAAGTCACTTGTGTTCAGCTCTAAAGTTACAACCTGTGAACTGTATTTTGTAATTATTGCTTAAGAGAAAAAAATATCTGTTGTCAAAGGAGAATCTGTTCAGCTAAGAAAAAATTAAGGGTTTTCCCTAGAAACAACAATGTACTGAAATAGCATTCCTAAAGGAAACTGCCTCATGCCTAAAAGTTGTTGTATTGCTGGTTTGTTTTTCTATAATGAAGCCTTATCTCAGAAGGAATAAGATTTATTGGTCAGTTTATCACCCAATGAGGAAATGAAAGATGAGAAATGAAACTCAGGAATGCTGCTGCACATACTGGCTCATTTAAACCCATCACTGTAATTAGCACACATACAAAACAGAACAAAGAAACTGGAACTTCAAGAATACTTTCATCATGTATTCTTGGAATTTCTGTCTTTGAAACCATTCTCAAAACACTTAAATGCAAAATTAATACAGGTAAATAAAGAGAATACATAAACCCAGTGCCTTTTAATAGATAGTGGATGTTGGACATCACTGTAACTAATGGCTTACCAAATAATCTTTGTTTTATCAGCAAAGATAAGAAGAATGATTCCCAAATATGTTCAAGTAAACATCCTAAACAATGCTATGATGGGACTCAAGAACTCCTCTTTATGGGGACCAAAGAAAAAGGGGAAAGGAAAAGTCTTCAAGTGTCCTACTCACTGTCCCACTGAGAAGGAGGTACTTGGATGTTCTGGACAAGGAACAGTAACAGAGAGAGAGCGCACGAGCGAGTGCACACATGGATTTTAAAAAAAGGTTTTTTTCAGGGAGTCAGAAGTCAAGCCGTATAATCAAGCAGGATAAAAGGAGAACCCTCTTTCTTCAGATCCTCTAAGTGTACTGCCCTGGGCAGCTGGTGGCTGGGCTTTTTTCATTCACTGTTATAAACATCCTCCCTGTATCCTCTGGTGCAGTAAATCCCTTTGAGTCTAAGTGGGAGGAACTACAAAATTAATCTCAAGTCCTTTCTT